CGACGGTGGCGGCCAACGTCTGCCGCCCTCAGGCCCTGCTTATAGCGCCCGGGCGGCGGGCTGACGTCACAGCGGCGTGCTGACGCAGCGGCGGAGACAGCGGCGCGTTTTGGGGAGCTGCGGGAGGCTTGTCCAATGTTGGGCCCTTGGAGGTCTAGGAGCCCGGGCACGTCTTGAAAGTGGAAGCTTCTAGAGGCGCTCAGGCCTAGCCCTCCGCCTCCCCTGACTGGCAATAGAAATAAATGAATTGCATTTTGTAAAGTCTGCTTTCAGTGGCATGTTCTAACTTCTTTGTAGCGATTGTTACCAAATACTTTCAAAAAGTATGTTGAATGTCTACCCTTCTAGGCATAAATAGCACCTATTTCCTACTGAGTGAGCCTAATGGAACTGAGGATCACAATTAACCTATTTTTAAAAATCATTTCTCAGTGCTGCTAGATTAAAATATCATTTTAATACTTCAAGAAATAGACTAATGAATAGTTCTACACTCTTGCATTTATGTGGAAAATAACAGACCTTTTGGAAACTATATGGAAAGAAGCAGTTGTTGAATGGATGTGCTGTGCAATTTTGATACTGTTTTGAATTAGTATAATGAGTAGCAGTTGTAATTTTATTGTCTTTGAAATGTTTTTTTAATGCATCATTAAGATTTTTATAGAATAGTGACAGAAAAAAGGTATCTTAACTGAAATAATAAGTTTAATAACTAAAATATTTCTTAGCTTTCAGCTTATTTGGAAAAGTTGTGAAAGTCATCTTATAAATCCACTTACCGAATTTATGGAGAAACCTACAAGTGATAGGAGCTACTCAGACGAACTCCTTTTCCATCTGAAAAGTAGATCAGAGGAAGATTTACCACAGCATACCAGTGGAAGTCATCTCAGGTGGTATTCTCATCAATATTTGAGGAAATCTAATTTTCTGATTTCCAGGTGTCTTAGTCCATGATTGCATTGTTAAAAGAAATACTGAAGCTGGGTAAATTTAAGAGAATAGTGGTTTATTTTGACTCACAGTTCTGGTGCCCTGGAAGTCCAAAGCCATCACAAAATGGCAGAAGACAAAAATTTTAGCAGATCAGAGTGTGTTCTGTAACCACTGTGGGTTTTTTTGTTTGTTTGCTTGTTTTTCTGAGATTCTGGTCTCATCCCCACAGTTTATCTCAATAATTAGATGGAAAAGTCACGGGTAACTGTTCAGTTGCTGGTTGCTTCATGAACATTTAGTAGAAGCGTTGAATAAAGATTTTTTTTCCCCTAAAGTGCTGCCTGCGAACCCCACGAAGAGGCGGGGCGACCGTTGCCAGAGAAGCCCCTAGACGCGTAGGAGCTCTGCTTTTGTCCCACGAGCACCTCGACGGGCGCTCTCCCACGGAAGCGACTGTCGGAATTCGGCTGCTTTTCGCCTTGCATCCCCTGCCTTCCTTGCTAGTCTTCCTTCCGCGGCACTGCCCGCTGCGACCCAGTCCCGCTTAGCTGGCCCACGGTTGCAGAGCACAGGTACGCTCCCAGATCTCTCACGACTGTGACGGCCAACGTCTGCCGCCCTCAGGCCCTTCTTATAGCGCCCTGGCGGCGGGCTGACGTCACAGCGGCGTGCTGACGCAGCGGCGGAGACAGCGGCGCGTTTTGGGGAGCTGCGGGAGGCTTGTCCAATGTTGGGCCCTTGGAGGTCTAGGAGCCCGGGCACGTCTTGAAAGTGGAAGCTTCTAGAGGCGCTCAGGCCTAGCCCTCCGCCTCCCCTGACTGGCAATAGAAATAAATGAATTGCATTTTGTAAAGTCTGCTTTCAGTGGCATGTTCTAACTTCTTTGTAGCGATTGTTACCAAATACTTTCAAAAAGTATGTTGAATGTCTACCCTTCTAGGCATAAATAGCACCTATTTCCTACTGAGTGAGCCTAATGGAACTGAGGATCACAATTAACCTATTTTTAAAAATCATTTCTCAGTGCTGCTAGATTAAAATATCATTTTAATACTTCAAGAAATAGACTAATGAATAGTTCTACACTCTTGCATTTATGTGGAAAATAACAGACCTTTTGGAAACTATATGGAAAGAAGCAGTTGTTGAATGGATGTGCTGTGCAATTTTGATACTGTTTTGAATTAGTATAATGAGTAGCAGTTGTAATTTTATTGTCTTTGAAATGTTTTTTTAATGCATCATTAAGATTTTTATAGAATAGTGACAGAAAAAAGGTATCTTAACTGAAATAATAAGTTTAATAACTAAAATATTTCTTAGCTTTCAGCTTATTTGGAAAAGTTGTGAAAGTCATCTTATAAATCCACTTACCGAATTTATGGAGAAACCTACAAGTGATAGGAGCTACTCAGACGAACTCCTTTTCCATCTGAAAAGTAGATCAGAGGAAGATTTACCACAGCATACCAGTGGAAGTCATCTCAGGTGGTATTCTCATCAATATTTGAGGAAATCTAATTTTCTGATTTCCAGGTGTCTTAGTCCATGATTGCATTGTTAAAAGAAATACTGAAGCTGGGTAAATTTAAGAGAACAGTGGTTTATTTTGACTCACAGTTCTGGTGCCCTGGAAGTCCAAAGCCATCACAAAATGGCAGAAGACAAAAATTTTAGCAGATCAGAGTGTGTTCTGTAACCACTGTGGGTTTTTTTGTTTGTTTGCTTGTTTTTCTGAGATTCTGGTCTCATCCCCACAGTTTATCGACCCAACCCAACTCATCATGGAGGGCCTGTCCTAATGACATTATTGCATCCAAAGGTCCCACCTTGGGAAACCATGAAAAAAATTAGATTTTCATTGACTATTTTACAATACAATCAATATAGTCAAATTCCAACACATGAACTTCTGGGGGACCACCAGTCACTGCCTATTTAATGCCAAAATGTGAAATCTTGGGTGATAAACCATTATCCAAATCATAACATTAATGGTGCATTAATTCAGATAATTTGCATTACAGACAAAATATAAAACCAGCAGATGGTGTAGTAGTTACATTGCTGGACTCCCATATAGTTGACCGTGGTTTGAGTCCTGGACCCAGCAGCTTAAAACTCATGCTGGTCATATGTGCGTGTGTGCCAAAAAATCCCAAGAGGAAAATGGAGGAAAAGAGATTGTGACTTGGCCATCCCCACTGGGGGTTAATTCCTCAGTTTATGTCTCTCTGTCTCTCTCTGTCTTTTCAGTGAGCACATACACCCTATAGCAAAAATCTCTCTAAAAAATAAAAAAATAAAAACCTTGCCTTATATTAAGAATCTATAAAACCATAAATTTTTGTACTAAGGTAAATGAAAATATAAATAATATGGCATATCAGAATTAATGAGTACTAATTCACTGTCATTTGATGTATTACTATATAACAAATCATTGTCACATTTGACTTCTTTAATTGTGGAACACACTTGTTATTTATATGAATCATTGCTCTCTACCCCAAATGGCAACCTTAAAATATTATTTTCACTGTACATAGTATAATCGAGCTTCCAGTTTAACTTGTTTCAAATAAAAAAATATATTTTATATATATATTATATTATATATATATATATATATTTTTGGTATAGCCTCTGAGATGCCCTAAATTGTTAATGAGCCATTATTTTATGTTCTATGAAGACAAAAGCTGCCAATTAAAGACATAGTTTATTACTTGAAATTTTATGTATCTATATTATAAAAGTTCCTTCAAACTTATTTATATATAGATTTTATTCCAAATATTGGGTCGTCAGAAAAGTCATGATGCAATTTTGTATAGGAAAACATAGAAAAATATGTCATGACCCAATAATTTATAATTACATAAAAATAAAATATAGGTGAGATAAATTAGTTAAAGTAGTCTCAGAACTTCTTTATAAACAAAGCCAACCACTGTGATTTACTTTTTGATTTAAAGTTATCCTTGCTATTAAGAATATTGGTGATATCACATTACTTTTTAAAATAATTAATTAATTAATTAATTTACTTTGACCAGAGAGAGACAGAGCAAGTGAGAGAGAAACTGAGAAAGAGAGAGAAAGTGAGAAAGCAAGTTGCCAGGTCTGGGACTCAAACCACAGTTGGTCATGTGGGAGTACAGCACCCTTAACCACCACGTCACCTGCCGGCCCCGGTGTTATCACATTTCTTAAGAACATCTTTAAGTGAAATAATCTTTTTTCATTCTAGGCTCTTAATCACAGTATAGAGCAAGGCTGTCTGGAGTCCTGCCTCTGAAATGTTGCTAAACTTTCCTACTTCACTAACTCCTCATCCCCTCTATGACCCTTTGTTCTTAGGGTTAAAAAAGTGTAGCTTTATCTCTGGGATATTCATCAATGCTTTGGACACCCAGTCTCTAAGTTCTCAGTGTGTGTAGGCACAGACAGGTCAAGATTCCCTCCTGACAGACAAAGATTTTAAGACACATCTGATATCAGGATGTGAAAATGTGACGGGGGCAGACCCCACAGCCTAGTGGTTAAGGGAACTGGAGTCCATGTGGCCAACTGCGCAGTTTGAATCTCAGTTCTGGTGGCTTGAAAACATGCCTGGTACATGTGTCTCATACCTCAAATCTAAATAGAATGCATAAATGGAGAAGGAATTGTGTCATGACCACACCCCATTGAAGGGGTGTTTTTTCTCTCTGTATGTGTCTTTCTAGCACGTACAGAGAAGAGAAGAGAAGAAACCAAAAATTTAACTTAATCATAATACACAACAATATCCAGGTAAAACATAATTAAGAAGGCAAATAACAGTTTTGTTTCGAATGGTAATATATTCTCAAGCAAAATGTGAAAAATTTTTAGATATCTCAAGAGTTTTAATTTTTTTGTGTTACATCTGTTTGGCTTATTCATTCTATTGGAATGAGTGAGTTTAGGGGAGGGAAAGTTTAGGAATGAGGTCTAAAAAGATACATCTTTTGTGTTTGGAATAAGAGAAAGAAAGGAGAAATAAAAAAGACACGTATACATTCACACAAATCCATTTTATAAACCAGAGAGGGGATGTTGAATAATTATCCAACATAGCATAGGTAAACATTATTATTGGTGGTCTCTCTGTTTTACATATATTAACACTTTAAATTGTCTTTTCATGTGTCCAAAAATTTGGAAGTATAGGGAAAAATACACACATTTTCAGTGACAGTTTATGATATTTTACAGAGCAATTTATAGAACTGTAATATTTAGTAAGACTATGCTATATTTGTATACAAAGTATAAACTTTTAGTTTATGTGACAGATTTAACTTACATTTTCTTTGTGCATTTCTAATTAGCCTGAAGCAGGACATCCCACACAAGAAGCCTGAACTGGAAACAATGCTTAAAGAAGCTGAGTTGGCAACCTGCTCTGTAGAATTACTTTTGCCGTTATTTAAGGATACCATTGAAGAGATTAGTTTTGAAAATGTGAGTATCTGATTTATGAACATCTAATAAAAAACTAGTACAGTCTGAGCATTTCTAATCCAAAAATTCAAGATCACAAATATTCCAAAATCTGTAATTTTTTGGCACTCACGTGATGCACAAGTAGAAAATTCTACACTTGACTTCATATGGTAGGTCTCAGTCAAAACAAAATATTGCATACGATTACCTTCAAGCTATGTTTATACAGTTTATATGAAACATAAATGAGTTTTGTGTTTAGCCTTGGGTCTCCTCCCCAAGAAAACTTACTGCGTTTATGAAGATATTCCAGAAGCTGAGAAAATTAGAAATCCAAAGTACTTCTGTTCCCATAGATTTCAGATATTGAACTTGGATAATATGTGGAATGTATTGCCATCTCATATTTTAAGCAGGAAAGCTCACATATGGGTATTTGATACCAAAAACGAGAGTTTATTGGTGTTCTTTATTCCTATATCATTACCTTTCCTAAAGATAATGTCAGCAGACACTGATAAGAGGCTAATCTGGAAACTGTATCTTGGTGCTTGACTTACCTGGAGTTGAACTAGAGAATCATCTTTTATCCTAAGTAAATTTAGGGACCAATTGGTGGTGTGGTAGTTAAGGTGCCAGATCCCACATGGTTGATTGCAGTTTCAGTACCAGACCTGGAGGCCTGAAAAACATAGTAGGTGCATGTGCATACGCGTCCCAAATCCTGAGAGGGCAATGGATGAGAAGGGATTGTACCTGGGCCATTCCCCGCTGGGGATGATTTCTCACTTTCCTCTCTCTGTGTCTCTTTCCAATGATTGCACGTGCCCTATGGCAAAAACCTAAAAAAAATAGTAACCCTGAAATAGTCATTTTAAAATTAGTATTATTTATATGTTCAATTGTTAGACATCATTTTGATTCTTCTGAGAGGTGAAACATACCTTTTTTTTTTTTTATAGGAATAGAGAGCTGAATTTTAAAATTTCAGCCTTCTAAACATTGAGCTCAGGGGGAAAAATACTTTATTCTTTAACTTTTATTAGGATAAATGCCTGAAATATTTTAGAGTTTAAGCCCTTAGTTTGATTTTATTTGACTATAGTATACTATGTAACAAATCTTATTTACTGTTAATCAACTTGGCAAAATTTGCTATTATTATGTGTAATAATAATAGTAATAATCATTTCTTATTAAGAAAAATTATTCTTTGAAAAGATACTGTATTTTAGAGTTTTTCACATAATGCTATGTCTTAAAATGTGTATACGGTTCTTATATTTTGTCAGGCTGATTTTTCTGCATCCAATTTGAAGATAATTTCTAAACAGAAGGAAATATTAACAAAAGAATTAGACACATTTAAACGTGTAAAACTGGCTTTAGAACATCTTCTTAGAAAGACAGACTACAAACAAGTAAGGCATCATTTAATAAGCACTCCTTTAATACTGATATTTTTTGCATAAAGAGTATACTATGTCTCAGACTGTAGAAACTGAAATACTGGTATATTTGAAATGGAAATGGTTCTCTGAATTTTTGTTTGAAATGACAATCATTAAACTAACACCTACTTAGAATATCCTACAAATAGTTCTACGTGAAAAGAGCATGTTTTTATAGAAATTTTTTTTTTATTTCGTGTCAAAAACTTTCAATATTTGTTTTTTATTTACATACTCTTAGAGTTCAAGTTCCTATGTATGTATTATATTTATATATACTTTTTTGGTAATAGCTTTATTGAGATATAATTCACATACCATACAGTTCTCCCATTTAGAGTATAAAGTTCAGCGCTTTTAAATTATTCACGGAATTGTGCAGCCATAACCGCAGTCAATTTTAGAGTCTCTCCATCGCTCCAGAATAAAACCGTGTATGCTTCTCCTATCTGTCTCTTGAAAGGGATCCCTACAACATCAACTGCTTTCTGCATCTTTGGATTTGCCTCTTTTGGATATTTCTTATTAATGGGATCATATGATAAGTGATCGTGACAGCTTTCTTCCACTTAGCATAATGTTTTCAAGGTTCATCTGTGTTACAGCATGCATCAATTACTCTATTATTCTTTATTGCCAAATAGTAGAGTTCACTGTACAGGTATACCACTTTCAGTGATCTGTTCTTCAGTTGATGGCAGTTGGATGGTTTCTAGATTTTAACTGTTAGGAATAATGTTACTGTAAACATTTATTGACATAGTTGTGGTGGATAAACATTTTCATTGCTCTTGGGTCTATATTTAGGAGAAAAATTGTTTGGCATACATGTATTCTTTATACACATTTACACACATATACATCTAGACATATGTAATCCCCTTAGATCTAGGACAGTACTTCTTCAGGTCTTTTCCTACCTCTACCCTGTTCACATGCATGATGTAATTTCAGCCCTTCTCATAGTGGCTGTGAGATGAGACAGTGTCATTTTGTTATTGTGAAATAATATGCATGTAAAATTTATATGCTTCTGCATAAGCATATAAAGAAAACTAAGCCTAACTTTATAGACATATGGTCATGTGTGACATATTGTCAATTAAAAGATTTAAAAGAATAAATTAATGGTTTAGTGGAATAAAGAAACTTTTTAAAATCAAGATTCTTAACTTGACATTCTTTTTTTTTTTGGAGAGGTTTTTGTTATAGGGCGCGTGCACTTGCCAGATAGACAGAGAGAGACAGAGAGAAAGCGAGAAATCACCCCCCTGGGGGATGGCCACACCGCAATCCCTTCTCTTCCATTCTCCTCTCGGGATCTTGGGCACGCACGCACATGCGCCCAGCGTGAGTTTTAAGCCACCGGGTCCAGGACGAGAACCGCTGTCGACTACGTTGGAGTCCAGCGACATAGCCATTATGCTAACTGCTGGTCCCTTAACTTGACATTCTTAATCTGTGATCTGTGAGTCCCTTGAAAGTTTATATGCATTATTGTGTGTATTAACTATAGACTAGAACTCTAAAATCAATCATTTTTACTCTGTGTTTGTTACCTCTTTGACTGTAGGACAAGTGTACTTAAAGAAATTAATTTCTGTGATAGGCTGAAATATCTTGAGCTAATGACAGAATTGCCTAAATTATTCTTCTGACTCCCCTTTGGCTCTTTCCTACAATAATATTTTCTCAGAATTATAAAAAGTATCTAACATTAGGTAATAATTTTTATAATTAGAAAGTTATATGCTCATTATAGAAATTTTAGATAAACAAATAAATATTAATAATTGCCTTGGTCTCAACACACAGTGAAGCCTGTGTTATCTATTCTTTGCAGCCTTCAATTCTGTTACTGTATATGTGTTTTATGGGTATATATGTGTGTTTTACAAAAGAGGGATCATATTATTCTCATAGTTTTATAACTTGATTTTGTACATAACACTATATCATCAATCTTTTCTCATATTAAATATTTTTTAAATAAGAATAATTTTTTTTTGAGAGAATTTTACTATAGGATACGTGTACTTGCAGGAGAGACAGAAAGACAGAAAGTGAAAAATCACCCTCCCCAGCAGGGATGGCAACACTGCAATCTCTTCTCCTCCATTCTCCTCTCAGGATTTTAGGAACGTGCACACATGTGCCCAGCATGAATTTCAAACTGTCATGTCTGGGACTCGAACTGCAGTCAACCATGTGGGAGTCCAGCACACTAACCACTGTACCATCTGCTGTCCCCAGGAAAGAACCATAATTCTGTGGACCCTTACAGTGTCCAAGGTTGACTTCATGAAATCCATGAACCGGGACTAGCTGGTGACATGGTGGTTAAGGTGCCTACACCCCCCAATGACTGATGGTGTTGTTTGAGTCCAAGACCCAGTGGCTGGAAAAATATGCCAGGCATGTGTGCGTGCATACCCAACACTCTTAAAGGAGAAATGATAGAAATGACATCGTGGTGTGAAAATCCTCTATGGGAGGTGCTTTCCACTGTCCTTCTCTCTGTCTCTCAGGTGTGCACATGCCTTCTAACAAATTTTTTTTAAAAGGAAAGAAATACATGAACCAGCTGAAATTGTGTATGTAATTTTTCATTTTACATATATATTTATTACAAATTTGTATTAAAAGACTTTGTAGCATTTTTAACATATTCATGTAGGAGTATGACCCTCAAAAATTATCAAACTTTCTTCTATGGACTAATTTAAAATGTCTACATAGAATTATATTAACTAATTTGCTCTAATTCTTTAAGAAATTTCTTATTGTTAGAATTTAGGTTGCTTATAATTTTTGCCCACTTATAGATAGCATTTTGTTGAGCTTTTATATAAAATTATTTTTTGTAATTTTTAAAATACATTATTGACTTATAATTTCTGAAGCCTTCTTCGGAATTAATTTAGTAAAATAGCTAATTTCATAAATTGTGGATAGAAATATTGGGTCATCAGAAAAGTCATGACACATTTTTTCTGTTTTTCTATGCAAAAAGGCATCATGACTTTTCCGAGGATTCAATAATTTGGAACACTTAGGCAGAAATCCTTTTAATGGGTGGGGCTGGCAGGTGGCATGGTGGTTAAAGTCACTGGACTCCCACATGGCCAACTATGGTTCAAGTCCTGGACCTGGTGGCTTGCTTTCTCACTTTCTCTCTTTCTCTCTGTCTGGTCAAATTAAAATAAATAAATACATACATAAAAACACACATACATACAGTTAAATAAAATAATTCTTAAAAAAGAAAGAAATCTTTCTAATGGTTAACTCTTAAAATTCTGAACTGTGCATAGTTGTTATTGATATTAGTTTCTTGAGGGATACTTACTCTGCTTCCTGTTTTTTAATGTAGAGAAATCGAGTTTCTGAACACTGATTTACAAAATCCTTTTTCACAGACAGGGGACAATCTACCCAGCATGTTATTAGAGAACCTAACTGGTAATGAAAGTGAAAATACTGTAAGTGTTTTCCTATTTTGTATCTGCTCTTTCTGACATTTTTTGTTTCTTTATATGCTGCTTGGTTTGATAAAATTAGCTAATATTATCCAAGTTGTAAAATGTCTAACTCTTACATTATGTTTACTGAAGAATCTTAAGAAGAAGTTACTTGAAAAGGAGGCCTATATCCAAGAACTTTCATGTTTGTGTCAGAATGAAAAGGTAAGCTAATTTTGAGCTCTTGAGCTGAAGTCATTGTGTTTTCTTTCCTTTTTTTAAAAAGAATTATTTACTTAATTTTTATTTATTCATTCATTTATTTTTAATTTGACCAGAGAGAGATACACAGAGAGGGAGGGGGAGAAAGCAAGCCACCAGGTCCAGGATTTGAACTGTGGTTGGCCATGTGGGAGTGTCCAGCACCTTAACCGCCGTACCACCTGCTGGTCTCCTATATTTTCTTAATGTTGATTCCCTCCCCTCCTTTTACCAACTTGGCTCCATAGCCTCAGAAATAAGTACAAGAAGAATTTTTTTAAATGATAGATTATTTGGATATTTTGCAATTTTTATGTATCAAACATAACATCTTAATTTTTTAGTTTTTTTTCTTAAGAGTTTTATGATATTTCAGTCAGGCTACTTGGTATAAACCATAATACATTAGGAATTTTGCATAAACTTATATTTCAATTTGGGGGCAAATTATGGAATTCTTGTGTTTTAGAGGCATTTTACATATACCTATTATTTTACTGAGGAGGATAAATGGGAATTTAAAATTAGAGATAACTATCAGGAGATATTAAATAAAAGTTGTGTGGAAGAGAAAAATTTCTCCTAGATTTACATGAGATACATCTGTAATTGGTGGGCAGTTTATATAAAGTAGTACTTTTTATCAGCTCTTTGGAGCATGTATAACTTAGTGTAAAATTAAGGATATTGGGAGAATACAATAAGTAACTCTTGTTTGGTGATTTCTCTTCTCTGTTACAGGCAAATGCTTTGAAAGCAAACCGTTTCTCTCAATCAGTAAAAGTAGTACATGAACGACTACAGCTACAAATTCATAAAAAGGAAGGAGAGAACGATAAGTTAAAAGAATACATAAAGGTTATAAATATTCATCAATTTCTATAGCTTTAGTGATAGAATTAATGGAAAAATAAAAAAGCCATTCCGTAATTTTAGAATTTAGTGATTTTACAAGAATTCAGTTTAAGTGTTGCCATGGGAAATACATATTTAAGGTAAATTTTGAAATTTCTGGCCCATCTGAAAATTTGGGTTTAAAGTCCATAAAAATTCCATTTATTTCTTTTTTTTTGGAAAGGTTTTTGCTATAGGGCATGTGCGCTCGCCAGAAAGACAGATAGAGACAGAGAGATAGAAAGTGAGAAATCACCCCCCAGGGAGGATGACCATGCCACAATCTCTTCTCTTTCATTTTCCTCTCGGGATCTTGGGCACACACGCACACATGCCCGGTGTGAGTTTAAGCCATCGGGTCCGGGACTCAAACCGCGGGCGGCCACGTGGGAGTTCAGCGACATAACCATTACGCTAACTGCTGGTCCCCAAATCCCATTTCTTTCTAATACCAATCTAGGAAGGATTTGTTGAGATTAAATTACTTTAAAAATATTTCTCTTTATAATTTATGTTTATTGTTGAAAGTTTCGATTGTAATTCTCTGAGTACTAGCCCTAAAATACTTTGAACCAATTTTTCTTTCTAGATCTTTGGAAGAGACACAATAATTATCTTTATAATATGTAACATGTATATAGGTCTTTGAAAATAGGAAAAGGCAAATAATCAGCTTGAAATTTATGTCTATTCATTTATCAAGACCGAGGGATTCTTTATTTTGTAACAATAGAAAACAATTTCATAGTTTCATTACATTCTCTGATAGTGCTCTGTGTGGGATTTGATAAATCTAGTAACGTCGAAATCTCGTGTAAAACCTTGCTCAAGAACGTTTTGCTTCACCTTTCATGTTTAAAAAGGTTTTTTTTTACTTAAACCTAGCAGCTATCATGGTGTGATAATGACACCCTGTGGTTTTTTTGAGGTATGACAGCAGCGTTTCCTGTGGAGTATTCATTTCTCTTCTGTATGATTGTTTTCTCCATTTATTACATTTGATGGAAAAAAAATTTTTTTTAGCTTAGGATTTATTTTTAAAGACAATTTACAAATATTTCTTCTTCTAAGGATCTAGTCATTCTTCAAAGAGGTCAAGTCTAAATCTTAAGCTGTACTTAAAAAAAAAAAAAAGAGGTGTGTATTTATTAGGTTGTTGAAAAAGTCATGATGTGTCATGAATTTTCTGACAACCTAATATTTCTTTCATGTCTTTCCATGGAAAAGAGAGGAAGACAGAGACAGGGATAGCTTCCCCCAACATGGTCTTCACACCATGATTTTCACCAGTCTTAGCCAGCCAGGAACATTACGAACAGAGAACTTGTGAGCAGAACCCAGGACCTTCCTATATGGCTTCAGCATTGCAGGTGGCTGCACTACCACTGTGCCAGAGTGACTGGCCTGGATATGTACCTTCTAATCTCAATTTTTGTGGAAAATAAGAGGCGTAGTTTTTCTCGATCTTAAAGTTAAGTCATAAAGCCATTTCTGTGACTCCTTTTTTTTTCCCTTTTGGGGGAAAACTTTTTTTTTAATTGAGACGACTGTCTAAATGAGAGATTAAAACCAAAATTCTTTAATTAGTTCACATTCTTCTTCATATTAAATAGCTTTCAAAATGTAAAAGTATAAATTTTACACTAAGTTATGCACGCTCCAAAGAGCTGATAGAAAGTCTTAATGTCTTTGATATTTAATACTGAAGTTCTGTTTTTCTAATTAACTAGTTTATTTTACATTCATTCACTGAACATCACAGCATACAAAATGTAGTTTCCCATCCACAATACAGTTTAAGTGGCTTGGTCATACATGTTATCATCAACAAATAATTTTCCATTTCTTATTTCATATATATTCAAAAATAAATAAATATATGTGTATGTGTGTGTATATATATATATTTTTTTTACTTTTATTTCTCACCCTCTGCCATTTCCCACTCTCTTCTCACACTACCTCTGGTGTCTGCAGTTGCTTTCTATTCCTTCTCCCCCCATACCCCCACACACATTTTATTGGTTAACAAAATATCTTAATTGATCTAACTACTTTCTATAGCAAGTTTAGCTGATATATAAATATCTGTGAACAAATGTTTGACTTTAGGCATGAAACTGTTAATAGAATGAATATACAATAAAATAGCACCTAGCTGCGGCTATATTAGCTTACTGTGGTCATTAAATAGGTATTTTTACATTTTTTTTAATCTCAAGAAAGGCAGTTTTAGTTTTAATAAATCAAAATAAAAAATGTTAAGAGAACTTTGCTTAAAACTTAAAGTCAGGAAAAAAGTTAAGATTCTGTTCAAATAGTAGGTACACAGATCTGTCGACAATTCAAGAGAAGACAAGAAGACAAAAATCCTTATCTCTGGAGTACAAAGCATAGAAAAAGATAATATTGTTTTAGTCAAAAGTAATAAAATTCTATTTCACTAGCTCAGTTTCATGTACTTAATCTAACTTCTGTTGTAATCTGAGCTTTCTGTTTAAATTCTGGAAGATAATATTCAACTCTGGACTTGTCCCTACCATTAAACTGGCCCTTTCTTAGGTGTTTTTTAACTCTTATTTCTGTGTGTCTGACTTTAGTTTTAATGATATAGCATTCAAAACTAGCTGGAGAACTGCTCTGGTGTCAGTAAATTCTTTCCGTTTTTTGTTGTTGTTGTTTTTTCAAATTGGAGAATGTTCTTGTCTTCTTCCCATATGAGGAATAATCTTGTCAGGTATAGTATTCTTGGTTGAAATTGTTTTTCCCTCAACACTTTGAATATGTTTTTCTTATCTTTCCTTACTTGCATTGTTTCTGGTGAGAGGTCCATTGTTAGCCTGATGGGATATCCTTTGTAAGTAACTTGTTTCTCTCTTGCCCGTCTGAGTATCTTGTGTTTGTCTGTGGTTTTGGTCAATCCAGGTATAATATGTCTTGGAGAAGATCTTCTTGGGTTGGTTCTATTTGGAATTCTTTGTATTTCTTGGGTCTGGATCTTTGAATGCCTCTCTAGGTTTGGAAAGTTTTCTTGCAGAATTTCATGGAATAGATTATCAATGCTCTTAATTGTCTCTTCACCTTTGGGATACCAATTACCCAGATATTTGGACATTTAATGGTATCTAGTATTTCTCGTATATTGTTCTCATTTTTGGGGAGCATTTTCTTGGTCTTTGTGGTGGATTTTACTAGTCCAGCAATTCTATCTTCTACATCTGAGATTTGATCTTCTGTATGATCTACTCAGCTTTTAATACTTTAAAGGGAAGTTTTGATTTCCTGTATTACAGCCTTCATCTCTAACAGTTCTGTTTGATTCTTTTTTATGCTGCGTATTTCCTCTTTTAGATTGTGCAAGAACTCCCTCACCTCCTGGAACTTCATGGTTCTATTCTCCTGCCTCTTCTCAAGTTCATTGTCTCTCTTCTCTTGCATCTCTGTTAGCTTTGTCGCTATGAATATTCTAAATTCTTTATCAGACATTTCCATGAGTTCCATTGTACTGTATGTGGATGAAGAGGAGTTTTATTTTCCCTTGGGTGGGAAGGTATTGGTTTCTTATATTTTTTGTGCCTCTGTGGTGATTTCTAGTCATCTGATGGGGTATACGTTTCTTCCTAATTTCTTTAAATTCAATCTGAGCATTTACAGGTGTGCAGGAGGAGATGATCTGCAATCTCTTTGCTGTTTTTTTTTTTTTAATCTCTTTGTGCATCAGATTCAGTGGGTATTGTGGAACATGTTGACCCTAATAGTATTCAAATGTTCAGCTACAGTTCCCTTAGATCTGTTTAGGCACTCAGTAAGTACATGGAGGCTGAGCAGCAAAGTGATGAGGTAAAAGAAAAAGGAAAACGAAACAGAAAAAGAGAGAAAAAAGAGAGAGAAAAAAGATAGAAAGAAAAAAATAAAACAAACAAAAAGATTTATTTATTTATTTAAAAAGCTAAAAATGAAAACTGTGCAGCGCGAGTGTGCACTAGTTCACAACTGCAATGAAGGAGTCTTCTACTGAAGGCCTACCCTTTGCCTTTCCTGAATGGGAGGGTAGAAAGGGATTATTAGTAAGATAAAGGAGGATCTGAAAGCCAAAAGAATACTTTACCTTAAAAAATTAATGGGATCAGCAGACAGCACAATGGCTATGTTGCTGGACTCCCATGTAGTTGACCACTGTTCAAGTCCCAAACCCAGTGGCCTGAACTCACGCTGGGCGTGTGTGTGAGCATGCTCAAGATCCTAGGTGGAGAGTGGAGAAGGGCTTGCGGTGTGGCCATCTCCCCTAGGGGGGTGATTTCTCGCTTTCTGTCTCTCTCTCTCTCTCTCTCTCTCTGTCTTTCTGGCAAGTGCATGTGCCCTCTCGCAAAAAACCTCTCCAAAAAAAAAAAAAAAAAAGAAAAAAAAAGATCAAAAAGTGAAAAGACAAAGAGAGTCAGAGAGAGACAGAGAGGGATGGATACAGGGGGGTGCCCTACCACTTTAGACTGGGGGGTGGAGGCTGAATTTTCAGTAGAATATCTTCTTTTCTCTTATTCCCTGAAAGCACTAATAATAGAAAATAAAAACATAAGAGTTTTCACACTAAATCAGATCCATCATCTATCCAGCCTAATTTGCCTCTCATGTTACCAAGAAAGATATTAAGGAGATGGTTGTGCCAGTTAACACCATCACATTCAAGACACAGAGCCTGTTCTCAAATATCTTTTTATTTTTTCCCATCTTATGAATCTGATGGTCATTACTTTATCTAAGCCTGAGTTTGGTCTTAGAATAATGACTCCCACAGATCTACCATTCACTGAATAAAGCAGTACGTATATTTTCCTTAATGTAACTCTCTATAGTGTCAGGGCCTGCCTCAATTCTAGAAAATAAAACTCATTTAATTTATCTCATTTATGCCCGTTACAATCTTTAAATTTTGGTCACATCTCTTCTAGCCTTTTTTAAACTGAAAAGTCTTAATATATTTGGGGAGCTACCAATTTCTTTGTGCTTTGTGTATCTGTTATTTGGATAATTACCAACCCAGTGATGGAGTTTTTTGACTAGTTTTTAAAATTAATATGATGTATAATACTTTAGATGTGAACTTAAAAAGAAAATGTTAAAGTTAAGTTTTAAGTTAGAATTTGTACCATACTCATCAATATTAGTGTTTTTAAATAATGCTAGAAGTAGCTTTATGTAGATGTATATATTTTAAACTTGCATTCTTTAACTTGTTGCAAAGAAGTACTGATGAAATCACCATTTAAAAGGTCCAGTATAATTAACTGACTCAACACCAGTGAAAAATGGAGATTTATGCTGTCACATTGGATTTATCTTTTATTTTATTTTATTTTATTTTATTTTATTTTATTTTATTTTATTTTATTTTATTTTATTTTATTTTATTTTATTTTATTTTATTTTATTTTATTTTATTTTATTTTATTTTATTTTATTTTAGGGCGCGTGTGCTTGCCAGACAGACAGAGACAGACAGAAAGCAAGAAATTACCCCCCCTGGGTGGGGGGGATGACCATGACACAATTCCTTCTCCTGTTTTCCTCTTGGGCCCTTGGGCCTGCACACACACACGCCTGACATGAGTTTTAAGCCACCAGGTCTGGGACTCGGTGGTCCCAGACCCAGTGGTCGACCACATGGGATTCCAGTGACATACCCATTACTCTAAGTGCTGGTCCCTCAGGATTTATCTTGTTTATACTCTTAAACACATAGGCATTCTGAAATAATCTTTTCTTTCTTTTTTTTTTTTTAGAGTTTAGAAACCAAGATAGCCCAATGGAACTTGCAGCTGAGAACAAATAAACATGAAGCTGTAACCATGAAAGAAGCAAGTAGGCAAAAAGCTATAGCTCTAAAAAAGGCATCTAAAATTTACAAACAAAGGCTTGAACATTTTACAGGAGATATTGAAAACCTTACCTCCCAAATTAGAGATCAGGTGAGCATATACATTCTTTTAAAGGTATATTTTCATGTACTTAGTTTATGTAGTTAATGTCATGAGGCTTACTGTAATAATTCTATTCAAATGCTATTACTATTAGAAAAACTTAACTCATACTTGTTGCTTTAGTCTTTTACTTTGAAAAATTACATAAAATGTCAAGTTGGCATGTTGAATTATATCAGCATTTCCTTGGGAACTTAAAAGTAATATTAGATATGTCCCACACATTACAAAAAGCTACTATGGCCAGCTGAGGGTGACACTTCATTCATGTGCCCCCTTGGAAAGTTACAGTGCACATTAGCATATTAAAAGTCCTTGAGAAGGAAATACAGGGTAGTGAAGTGTACTGAAAGAAGGATTGGGCCAGTAGGTGGTGTGGAGGTTAATGCAGCTGGATCCCACATGGCCAACTGCATGGTTTGAGGCCAACCTGGTGACTTGAGAAACAAATCAGTGCGTGTGCGTGTGTGCCCAGAATCATGCGAGGAGACTGGAGGAGAAGGGACTGTGGCATGGCCATCCCCCTGGGGAGGAGGGTGATTCTCACTTTCTCTCTCTCCCTCTCTTTGTCTGGGTAGTGCAATGTGTCCTATAGCAAACTTAAAAAAAAATGAAGAAAAGAAATGAAGAAGGGTTTCTTACACTTATTTAACCACAGAACTCTTACCCACAAAGCAACTCTTGGAACTGGTTCTGAGGAACACTAGTTTGGGATATGCTGATTTATGTTATTAGACCATATGACTTTATTCAGTGATTCAATTCATTTAATCTCGGAAATGCACTTAAAATCCTATGCTGACGTAAACACACCATGTGAAAGATATCATTGGGCTTGTACAAAGTTGAAAAATGGACTTAGTGCTTTGTTGTTTTTGACAAATTATATTTATTCAATTACCAATTAATAAAATATTTATTATTTTTAATGTCTCACTGTATCCCACCCCCCCTAAGAACTCATGTTAAGGCTTATATAATTATTAGAGACTTTTAGAAATGAAAACACACTTGTATGAAAACTCATACAAACAAAACAACTTAATATTATAAGCTCAAGCGTTAACATTTTAAGACTCTAACACTTAACCTACATTCAGAAGAATTTAGCTAGATAAAAGAAATGAATAACAGTTTCAAAGTCTGTAAGGTTGTAGACCTGACTTAATACATGAAAATATTCTCAAGTGGTAAAAACTAACTGAGTCATTTTAACATTCTTGAGGTTTTGCAATAGTATTTGGTTGTCAGAAAAATCATGATGCCTTTTTTGCATGGAAAAAAAATGTGCATGACTTTTCCAAAGCCCAATATTTACATAGCATCACCACTAACCCAGATCATTTATGGGAAAACTCTTGTCCCTACTCACCTTGTGATCTGAATCAGGATCTTAACCTCTCTATTTTTGTGTCCTTATCTAAAATAGAGGGTAATAATATCTTCTATGATTGTAGAGAGAGAAAAATGTGTCAAAGCTTGGTGCCTGGCTATAGTGTGTTTTGGTCATACTGTCCTTTCTATTCCTCTAATACATGAAGTTTCTTTGTTTTGTTGTTTTGTTTGTTTGCTGTTGCCACTTGCTTTAATATTCTTCTCTAGCTCACAATAGCTAGTTCTTTTTTTTTACATTCAGGTATCTCCCAGTTGACGTTTCTTAAAAGAGACTTGCCCTAACTACTTTTTGCTATAGGGTGCGTTCGCTTGCCAAACAGACAGAGAGAGACAGAGAGACAGAAAGCAAGAAATCACCCCCCAAGGGGGATAGCCACGCCGCAATCCCTTGGGCACGCACGCACACGTGCCCACTGTGAGTTTTAAGCCACCGGCTCCGGGACATGAACCGCGGTCAACTACATGGAGTCCAGTGACATAGCCATTACGCTAACTGCTGGCCCCATGCCCTAACTACTTTTGATGTAGCCCCACAACAATTAATCCTGTCAATGTCTTTTTTTATAACACTTATTACTATTTGCAACCAACTTAGTTTTTAGTTTACTTTTCTCGCTTAATTATTTCCCTCTCCTGGAATGTAACTCCCAGTGAGAAATCATCTCCCCCCCAGGGGGGAATGGCCATGCCTCAGTCCTTCTCTTCCATCTCCTCCTGGGATTTGTGGCACATGTGCACACATGCCTGGTGTGATTTTCAAGCCACTAGGTCTGGGACTCAAACCTTGGTCAGCCATGTGGGGTGCTTTCACCATGTCATCTGCTGGCCCTGTGAATACCATTATTTAAAACAGTTTTCTGAAGTCCAAACCATGAACAGTTTGGCATTAAGAGCTGAATAATAGTTCAAGAAAATATTATCTCAGTAGCTACACAGTACCTAAAATCTACAAAGTACTACAGAAAGATCAAGGAGAATGAGGATTTGAAAGGCTCCGTGGTTGGTAATTAGAAAGTTGTTAGTTATACTAGTTCAGGAGCAATTTCAATGCAGAAGTGAATGCAAAGGAGACTTGCTTTATGTCTGCCTGTTTATAAGGACAGATGGAAGAAGAAATGAGGATTTTGACAGTGGTGGGGAGAATTGATCCTGGCATTTAGTTCCTGTGGGGTAGGATGTTAAATGATCTATATTTCTGCACACTGAAGGGTTATTCCATTTCCTTTTTTGAAAATTGAACAGATCATAACTTTGCTTCTGGTGGCTTAGATGTGCCATTTCTTTAATGCAGAGAGAAAAGTAAGCCAACTCATAAAGCCCTCTCTAGGAAGATGATTCTGTCATTCACTAGTTCCTGCATTTTAGGAATGTCATACTAATTAGGTACTGTCCTCAATGCTATAGGTATTATTATCAGTAATAAGTATACATCTATAATAATGTACAGATTCCTTTTTCATTAGTAAAATTTATGAATATCTTAATTTTCTTTATAATATTAAACTATACTACATTGTTTATAATATAAACTATACTACATCATCTATAATGCCCAGCCCACTATTCATAATTTATATTAAAATTCATTTTATATAAAGTATGAAAACAGAGTACTAATCTTTCCTCAATATTATAGATATGATTTTGAAAATGTAGACAAAATATCTTGCACTTAGCAAAATGTTTAATAAGTACTTGTTTAGTGAACAGGTGAATGATGGGAGAGAAGGAACCACTCAGTAAATGTTAACTACTGTCAGGTCTGCAGGCTACTGGCACTGTTGCATTCCAGTGAGTGTATCTGCAGAATACAGACAGTGTCACAGTGCCTACAGATCTTTAGGTAGATTTGCAGAGACATTGACAGTAACTTTTTGAGTAATTGTTGTATTCCAGGTACCATTCAAGGCCCTTATAATTCACTTAATGAACAAAAGAAACAAAATTTACCTACCCCACAGAGCTCGCAGTCACTAGAGATTAGCCCCTGCTATCACCTTTGTCTCTTTGCTGATAGTAGCAGCGTGTGAAGGCTGACAAAACAGAGCCTGGCATTTTAACAAAGATAGATAAGGCTGCAGTATTAAATGCTATGGAGTTGTGGGTTTGAGGATAGTTTCTAGTATAGCATACAGGGTTTCTTTCTCCTCTGATGCTTATGTGTTTTTCAGCATCTTCTGTATATAGAATGCAAAATGAAAAGATTAGCAAGTAGAAAGGAACTTTCTATCTTTATTAATTATGAAGCATTGTTTAGAAATAGTTGCATCCACATCCTTTATAATGTTAAGCTGAAACTTCCACTGTGTACAGATAAAATAATAATAAGATATTTTCATAAAGTTCATTTAAAAACTTTTCCGTATTCAAAGCTGCGCCTTCAAGTATAATAAAATTCCATATTTTATCAGAAGAGTTTTTCCTTATTTATTATGTATTTGTGTTTAGGGGCCTGAACAAAAGAAAACCTTATAAAATTACAAGATGAATACTTTATGTATTTTTTAGGAAGCCAAGTTGTCTGAAACAGTTTCAGCTTCTAATGCGTGGAAAAGTCATTATGAGAAAATTGTGATAGAAAAAGCTGAATTGGAAGTTCAGATAGAAACAATGAAAAAGTAAGAAAAAAATTTACCATCTTTTTATTGTTTACTAAGAGTGGCTTTTGTTCTTCCCTCTTGAATGGTTTGTATTTTGATTCTTTTGGATTACATACAGTATAGGTGCTATCCGTATGAGTTGATTTCATAAGCCTTTCCTACTCTGTTATAAAAACCAATAAATACAATTACTTGTGAAAAATGCATTGGTGTTCACATTTTGAAATTTTAAACTTTTAGATTAGTATTTGATATTTGATCATATATCACCTATTACTTCTAGTAAATGTTAATTTTTTTAAGAGAGATTTTTGCTTTAGGGCACATGCACTCACCGGAGAGACAGAGAGACAAAAAGCAAGAAATCACCTCCCCAAGGGAGATGGCCACACCTCAATCCTTTCTCCTCCATTCTCATCTTGGGCTTTTGGGCACACACATACACTCACACACATGCGCATGCGCCTGGTGCCTGGCGTGAGTTTCATGGTGCCAGGTCTGGATCTCAAGCCACAGTCAACTGTGTAGAAGTCCAGCAACATGGGAACCAGCAGTTAGCATAATGGCTACGTCGCTGGACTCCCACATAGTCAACCGTGGTTCACGTCCCGGACCCGGTGGCTTAAAACTCACGCCGGGCGCGTGTGCGTGCGTGCCCAAGATCCCGAGAGGAGAATGGAGGAGAAGGGATTGAGGTGTGACCATCCCCCCTGGGGGGTGATTTCTTGCTTTCTGTCTCTATGTCTCTGCCTGCTGGCGAGCGCACGTGTCCTGTAGCAAAAACCTCTCCAAAAAAAGAAAAAAAAAAAGAAGTCCAGCAACATAACCATTATGTCAATTGCTGGTCCCAGTAAATGTTAATACTAGCTTTCTCTCTCTCTCTTTTTTTTTTTCCTCTTAAAATGTTATTACTCTATTAAGTAAAAATGTATATGTACAAATATGTAGCAGTTTATAACATATGTAAATGCCTGGAAAATTCTAAAAATTATTGTCCTTTAATTAAGGTGACTTAAATGTGTAACAAAGAAAATCAGTGAGTAAATATACATAAATTTTTTGCCTTGAAATTTATTACTGAAACACTAACAATATTGAATCTTGACCAGTAGCTCTTAAATGTTTTATCTACTGTATATTTTCTTCAGTTTTATCATCAAAAACTATATGTAACTTGCTCCTAAAGATTAGTTATCACCTTACTTAATCCCTTCTTCTAACCTTGTTTCTAAAAAATGTGTGTATGCTTGTAGCAAATCTGGATGAGAGGAAGACAGTTACGCAGCCTCCCTCGGGGTGCTACTTCAGGCATTTTATTGAATAGGAGGAGATCATTGTATCATTTTCCGTTGGCATCATCCATGAGTGGTTGTTTTCTAATCAGGGTTCTCTGATGATAGCCTTTTAGATTATTTTCTACTGTTTCCCTTGTTCTAAAAGTTCTGTTACATTTTTGCATGCTCCCTATTTGAAACAGTGTACCCTCCAAAATGATTTCAGACATATCCTTAGATTGTGTTATTTGAATGAAAATTTCTATGACTTTTATAAAAATGTATTATTTATTTTATGAAGGCAAATCAGTAATCTTTTAGAAGACCTGAAGAAAATGGAAGCTCATGGAAAAAAGTCATGTGAAGAAATTCTTAGAAAACTTCACTCAATTGAATATGAAAGTGAAACTGTGAATCTTGAGAATACAAAATTAAAGGTACTGCGTGTGTATGACTATGTTTATGGAAGTAGCTTGAATAAGCAGCTACAGCACTATACAGCTTAGAACAGCGCGCATGCATTATTTTGTCCAGGATGTTACAAAATAATTTCAATAGGTAACTTCTAAATCAATCAGTTTATCCCTTTAACTAGAGATCTGTCTCTGTTTATCTCTCTGTATACAGGCATATATGCACATATATTTTTGTGTGTATTTTTTATATATATGTTATATATATGTATATATAATTATAGTTACATACACAGATACATTTTAAAATTGTTTTGGCAGTACAGAACAAGATTTATGAAGTTGAAAAACTGTCTCTTTGCTCCAACTTAAAAATTTATTTATTCTCCAATTTTAGCAGTTCAGTAAATCATCTAGCATTGCATTAACTTGAATACATAAGACTATTTGTAGGTGTCATGGTTACGATAGGATATAATCTCAGGCCTGTTCTGTTGGAAACCAGAAAGTATGTTCTTGGCTGCTTCTTAACCAGAAAGAATTTTCCTACTTAGTCAAATCCAAGGGTTGATTGGTTTGTATGTATACCAGACAAGAGATGGGGAAGCAGTCCTTATATTTTCTGAGAAAAAAAGTTGTTTGAGTTCTTAGTCAACCAGAGATACATGTAATCAGATGAGATTGGACTGAATATGCTGGCATCATTTATTTAAGTTCCATAATACTACTTTTGGAGGCCAGAAAATAGAAGACAGAAAAGAATCTTTTCTAAACTATGAAGTAAAGTTTGTATGCAGAGGATAAATAACTTATTTGCATAATATGAGTATTATAGAGTACATTTTAAAGAAATTGTAAAATGAACATCTTACGTAGTTTTTCTATGTTTATAAGTTTAATTATATCTGCATTTATATTTAGCTAAAAGATATATACTTATTCTGTGTGTTAAGAAGCCTTTGGGGGAACCAGCAGATGGCATATTAGTTACGTAGCTGGACTCCCACATAGCCAACTATGGTTCGAGTCCCGGACCCAGTGGCTGAAAACTTACACCAGGCACGTGTGCATACATCCCCAAAATCCTGAGAGGAGAATGGAAGAGAAGGGATTGCAGTGAGGTCATCCTCCTTGAGGGGTGATTTCTCACTTTCTGTCTCTGTCTCTCCAGTGAGCACACATGTCCTGTAGCCAAATCTCTCCAAGAAAAAAACCTTTATTATAGGGCCAGTAAGGTGGTTTGATGGTTAAGATGTTGGACTCCCACATGACTGACAATAGTTCAAGTCTAGACCCAGTGGCTTGAAACTCATGTCAGGTGCGCGTATGTGCATGCCTAAAATCCCTAGAAGAGAATGGAGGAGAAGGGATTGGGCTGTTGCCATCAGTCACCCCAGGAGGTGATTTCTCACTTTCCCTCTCTTTGTCTCTCTCCAGCACATGCCGATGGCAAAAACCTTAAAAAAAAAAAAAAAAAAAGAAAAGAAAAAAAAAAAAGAAACTCCAGATGGAGTATTGCAATTTGCATGGTATTTGAGAGAAAAGATCTTTAATGTTAAAAAAGAAGTACTGATACTTTTTCTGAGTTAAGTATTTTTTGTACTATAAATGTACTCTTTTTTTTCCTTGGAAAAATTGCTATAATTATTTCTCTTTAGAATGATATAGACATTATGCCAAAATTGCAATGGACTGTTTTACATGAATATATGAGGAAAACATAGAAAATTTTAAAGTTATAAACAAAGAATAACATTTTAACAAAATGATGGCATCCTAGGCTTAAGTTTTTTAGTTGTTAAAAGGGACTATTTTCCAGAAGGAAATTAAAGATGCATCCAAATCTCTTTTAGACTTTCTAAACTTTTCTTTCTCTGTATCTCTAAAATGTCATGTACTGGAGAAAGAATTTTATGCACTGTAGGTTTTGGTATATTTTCTCAGGGATCAACGTGTTTCCAGATACTGAGCTGTCACTGTGAGAGATATATGATGATATAGTGTCATGCCTTAAGTGCAGAGTAGATAAGGGTCACTTACTAAATACGATAGGAAAACAATGGATTGCCTAAGCCAGAAAGACTCTTTCCTTCTGTTGGACCGCAAAGTTGGGAACTTTTCTCACCTTGGTTTTCAGTTTCTCCTTCAGATTAATGAGCCAAGGTTAGGCTTACAGATCTCAAGTCTTTTTTTTTTCCAGATGGACAGACTTGATTAATTTGAAACAGAGGACTAGAAATTGGCAGTCCTGTGGCCTTTGGTCATTGAGGAAGGACTGGCGGAAGTGGCAGGCGTCTAGGTAATACACTGAACAGGGAAGTAGCAAGGTCTTACTTCAGTCACCTTTGACTTATTATTATTATTATTATTATTTTTTTGGAGAGGTTTTTGCTATAGGGCACGTGCTCTTGCCAGACAGACAGAGAGAGACAGAGAGATACAAAGCGAGAAATCACCCCCCACGGGGGATGGCCACACCGTAATCCCTTTTCCTCCATTCTCCTCTCGGGATCTTGGGTATGCACGCACAAGTGCCTGGTGTGAGTTTAAGCCACCAGGTCTGGGATGCGAACCGCAGTCGACTACGTGGGAGTCCAGCGACATAGCCATTACGCTAACTGCTGGTCCTAGTCACCTTTGACTTATTTAGTAATACCATTATTTTGACTACTTTTTATCAGAAAAAATTTTAAAAATATCTAAGTTACAACTTGCCTTAATAGTAATTTTTTCAGTGACATTCAGAATTAGAGGTTTTACCTTTAGATGAGTTTGTAATTTCTTCAAGCAATGTGAATTTCTCATGTTTTCTTTATATTAGGTTGTTGGAAAAGTCATGATGTATTTTTTCATGCTTTGTTTCATTCAAAAATGTGCCATGACTTTCCCAACGATCTATTAAAAGAAATCCAGGGGGACCAGCAGGTGGCATGGTGGTTAAGGTGCTGGACATTTCCTCATGGCTGACCACAGTTCAAGTCCCAGACCTGGCAGCGTGCTTTCTCTCTTTCCTCTCTCTCTCTGTGTCTCTCTCTCTCTCTGGTCAAATTAAAATAAACAAATGAATAAATAAAATTAAATAAAAAATAATTAAAAAAAAAAGAAATCCAGTTATTCAGTGGACATAATTCTTCTAATTTCTGACTGCCCATTATCCAGTATTATCTCTTTTTAAAATTAAAAAAAAAATGTTTTGAGAGGCTTTTGCTATATGGCATGTGCGCTCACCAGAAAGAGACAGAGAAAAACAGAGAGACAGAAAGCGGGAAATCCCGCCCCAGGGGGCTGGGGGGGGATGGCCATGCCGCAATCCCTTCTCCTCCATTCTCTTCTCAGGATCTTGGGCATGCATACACATGTGCCTGGCGTGAGTTTAAGTCACCGAGTCTGGGACTCAAACCGTGTTCCACTACATGGGAGTTCAGCGACATAGCCATTACGCTAACTGCTGGTCCCTTTTTTTAAAATTTTTATTCATTTATTTTCTAGAGATTTTTGCTCTAGGACATGTGTGCTCTCCAGAGAGACAGAGAAACTGAAAGGGAGAAATCATCCCCTGGAGGAATGGCCATGGCCCAACCCCTTCTCTTTCATTCTCCTCTCAGAATCTTGGGCATGCATGCACTCACACACACAGTAAGCTGCCTGTCAGGGACTTGAGCCATGGTCGACTACATGGGAGTACAGTGACTTAACCATTATGCCATCTGCTAGTTCCCCAGAATTACCTTTTGAGGGAAGAGTACATGCTCATTATAATAAACTTGGGAACTATAGAAATATAGAAATGAAAGAACAAAATAACTTGATTTCTCCTATCTCCCAGATAAACCACACATTGTAACATTACTGCTTTCTTTCCCCAGTTGTTATTAAAATTGTGTCTTCCATTGTTCACTTTAAAATGTGAAAATATATTTGAGGGTAGAATATATAATATAAAATCTTCATAAGCATTTTTAAAGAGATTTTTGTCTTAGGGTGCATATACTCACCAGTGAGACAGAGACAGTGAGAGAGAAAGTGAGAAATCACCCCCCCCCACCCAGGAGAATGGCCACGCCGCAATCCCTTCTCCTCCATTCTCCTCCTGAGATCTTGGTTAGGCATGCACACGTGCCTGGTGTAAGGTTGGAACCACCAGGTTCGGGACTTGAACCGTGGTTGGGCATGTGGGAATCCAGCAACGTAACTCGTACCTCATCTGCTGACCCCCATAAGCATCCTTATAATTACTTTGGGATATATACTTCCTGGAGAAGTGTTAGGTAATTGACCTAACTACTCCCACGTTTTCGGTCATTCTGCAACTACCCTTTCCTGCTCTCCTGGATCCCACATCGTCTTTCTTGCTATAGCTCATTTTGATGGAAAGTATCTTCAGATAATTTTCTATTATAAAAGAGAAAATGGGAAGCAAAAATTAAACGTTATTATATCTAAAAATGCCCTTATTCTCCCTTCATTTTGATTGATGGTTTCATTTGGGTATAGCATCCCACATTGAGAGGAGTTTTCACTCAGAACTGTGAAGGCTTTGCTCTAAAAGATATGATGCAATGTAAGAATTTACTCTATACTCCATTAGTACAATTTTGGATGAATACATTGGAATTCAGAAAGGTTAACTAGCTTGCACAAGATCAAATAAATAGTTTAGTGGAAGAGCCAGAATTAGAATTTGGAGGAAGGAATCAAGAGACTACTGGAAACAAATTTTATAGTTACAAATTTGACTTGTCTCATGTTTTAAATTACATAAATTTTGCCAGAAATTACATTGGGAACTTCCAGTAAGTAAAATTCTCTAACAACTTTAGGGCACTATCTTTTATTTATTCTTTTTTTTTTTAAGAAAAGTTTATTAAACTATGATTGTACATATTTGTGGGGGTACAGAATGACTTTACAGTATAGTAATATGTAATGATTCATTCAGGATAATGACCATACTCATCATCTCAACCAGTTGTCATTACTTTTGCTGGGAACATTCAAAATTCTCCCTTTTAGTTGTTTTCAGATATATAGCGAGTTGTTGTTATCTAATAATTCTCCCCACTGTAATTTTTTTTTTTTAATTTGGCAGAGGGCATGTTCACTTACCAGAGAGACAGAGAGATGGATAGTGAAAAAGCACCCTTATGGGAATGGTCACGTCACAACTTCTCCTCCATTTCTCCCTCCTACTAGGATTTTGTGCATGTACTCACACAAGCCCAACGTGTTTCTCAACCTACCAAGTGTGGGACTGAAACTGCCCAGTCAGCCATGTAGGATTAAGTTGTCATAACCACCCTGCCACCAGCTGGTTCCCCAGTGTATTTTATAACACTAGAAATGTTCCTTCTATCTATCTGCTATTTTGTTCCTGTTAATCAACATTAGGGAGATATCCTTTAGGTTTCAGCTAGGCTTGTGTTAGTTAAGATTCAGATTCACTGGCGCCAGCAGGTGGCATGGTGGTTAAGGGTGTTGGACTCGCACATGGTCGACCACAGTTCAAGTCCCAGACCTGGAGGCTGGCTTGCTCTCTCTCTCTCTCTCTCACTGTGGTAAAGTTAAAATACATAAATAAATAAAGTTAAATGAGATGATTCAACAACAACAAAAAAGATTCAACTTCACTATATATAATAGAACACCCAATTTCAGTGGCTTCAGAAAGATATCGGGCTATTAGGAAATTCATGATGCATTTTTGCATAGACAAACATTGAGAAATACATCACAACTTTTCCAATGACCTAATAGAAGGGTATATTTATTACATAAAAGAAGTTTAGAGTGTGCATTCTAAGCTGTTATGACATGAGCTACTTACCGTCCTTTTAGCCCTCTGCTCTGCAGTCCTTAGGTTGTGATTCCTCATTGTCATGACTCAGTGTGGCTGCTGTAGCTTCAGCCCTTACAGCTGAGTTTCAAGCAGTGGGGTGGAGGGGAAAAAATGTAAACAATCTTGATTTTGCCTGTGTTACAAGAACATGTCTATTATCTGTCTTTTTTGTCAGTTATTTTTAAGTTTTAAAAATTGTTTATCCTGCATGTCTATTAAGACTCTTTATAAGTCTTAGTTACTAACTCTTTGAAGTCCTGAATTTTACATGATGATTGTATGTAATGAAAAGTAGTTTACTAACTTTGTTGATAGGTAAGCTATATTTTTATAATTCTATGGCACTGCAGTATAAATGTATCTTAATAATTTATAAAATTATTTATGTATTTCTTCTAGAATACACTTGCTGTTTTGACAGACGAGGTTGTTTCTGTTGAAAATGAACTCTTAGAGTTGCAAGAAGTGGAAAAACAACAGAAAAACTTGATTGAAGTGTATAAATCTCAGGTGACTCTGGCATCTATTTTAATGTTTGTTAAAATTAGTAGACAATGTTTTTGTGATCTAAATAAACATAACTGAAGGAGATAGGGCTATTATTTTGTGATATAATATATGTTTCAAATATTTTTTAAGGTCCCAAATATCTTTATATGGATAGGTGGTTCTGCCAATTCCTGACTCAACCACTATCTATTAAATAGATTGGATATAACTAAGAACAGATTTTAAATTTATTACATAAGTGTAGTATAGACCTTAATATGCAATTTCAGTAATCTTGTTTACATTTTGTCATCTTATATATTTAATGGTATTTATTTAGAATAATGACTCTCTTCTAGGTTCATTAAAACCCAGTACTCTTCTTTCTTTCCCAAAAAAACAAAGTCTAGCTCAGATTTATTCACATGAAAGATTGGAAAAGCACATATGGTAATATATGTGAAATAGAGCATGTACTTAATGATAAAGTGTAGAAAAGCTTTCTGTTTTGGAAATGTAGTATTTAAGAAAAACTTCATGAAAAATATGAAACTTTTGTAGGTATTTGCATGGTGGATAATAAACTGGTCAAAAACATCTTAGTTTTTTTTTTTTTTTTTTTTGAGAGATTTTCACTGTAGGGCGCGTGCGCTCGCCAGACAGACAGAGAGAGACATAGAGACAGAAAGCGAGAAATCACCCCCCAGGGGGGATGGTCACGCCGCAATCCCTTCTCCTCCATTCTCCTCTCAGGATCTTGGGCACGCATGCACACGCGCTCGGCGTGAGTTTTAAGCCACCGGGTCCAGGACACGAACCGCGGTCGACTACGTGGGAATCCAGCGACATAGCCATTACACTAACTGCTGGTTCCCAAAAACATCTTAGTTTTATGAGAAGAGAATTTGAATTAAAGAATAACGAACAAGTAAAAGCCTAAATGAGAGAAAGTGGGGGCGAGCTTAAGGGGCCACATCTGGGTGGATCGATGGAAGATGGAGTTGAGATGTCCACTTAGAGTGTTTTAGCCATCCAAGTCTGAAGTGAGAAATTAGCTGTGGTGGTCCGTGGACCTAGTAATGAGAATGTCATTGAGGTCTACCATCTGGTTGTTTGCGTTTACTCCTCGGTGAGAATACCGTATGGATGACCATAGTTACCATATTCTACCTGATGGGCCTTATGTAAAATACACAGATATTTTTCAAGCAGATTTTTTAAATGATTTTTTTATATTTTAAGACATATTTTTGCTATAGAGTGTGTACACTCACCGGAGAGACAGAAAGCAAGAAATCATCCCCCAGGGAGGATGGCCACACTGCAATCCCTTCTCCATTTTCCTCTTAGGATTTTGGGCACACACGCACTCATGCCTGGTGTGTTTCAAGCTGTTGGATCTGAGATTCGAGCCACAATCCACTATGTGAGAGTCCAGTAATGTAACCATTACGTCATCTGCTGGTCTCTGAGCAAATTTTGATTTAGTGGAAAAATAGTTGCAGTGGAAGCTAGTTTGGACCAGTGGCTGATTTCTTTCTTTTTTTTTTTTTTTGGAGAGGTTTTTGCTATAGGGCGCGTGTGCTCACCAGACAGACAGAGAGAGACATAGAGACAGAAAGCGAGAAATCACCCCCCAGGGGGGATGGTCACGCCACAATCCCTTCTCCTCCATTCTCCTCTCGGGATCTTGGGCACGTACGCACACATGCCCGGCGTGTTTTAAGCCACCGGGTCTGGTATGCAAACCACGGTTGACTACGTGGGAGTCCAGCAACATAGCCATTACGCTAACTGCTGGTTCCCAAGTGGCTGATTTCTTAAAGTGACATTTACCTGAAAATGCAGATCTCTGTAGTATTCAGAGCTCAACGGAAGAGTCTTAGAATTATCGACAGGAGAAAACATGTAAATTGTAAAAAGACTGTGGGTTAGAGCAAAAGATTGAGTGATTCCATATTTAAAGAAGGAACAATTTTAGATAAACATACTGATGATATCGATGAAATAATTCATTTTAAATGAAAATTTTAATTTTAGCTTTTTATTTCATGTTATGGTCCCAATGATAAAATAATACATATTGCTGAATAATTTATTTTCAGGTAGAAAAGCTACAAGAAGCAGCTGAAATGGTAAAAAGCAGATGTGAAAATTTGCTACATGAAAATAACCTAATAACAAAAAACAAAAATAGAAAATTAGAGAAGGTAAGGTTGAAATCTCAAATACTAAAATATTTTATTTATATGTTCTTAGTTTATGAATATTATACAAATTCTTTCATTTTGGTAATATTATCTAGTTCATAATTAGGAATGGTCTTTCTCAATCTCTGTAGCAGTTTGTTTTCTGAGGAAGTAATGTTTCTTCCAGGCTTGACATGTTTGTTTGTTTGAATGTTTTTTCACTTTTGTCTTAATATTTGGGAAATAGCTTAAATGTTTAATTTTCCTTATACAAGAGCAGACTTAAATAGCAAAACAATGATTATTACTGAGCTTCATCAACTCTAAGTATGCAAACTAATCTCATCTTTTTTTTTTTTCTGGTTATAAATCTTTCGTGTCTAAAACAAAGTAAATGTTCTCTGCTAAATGCATTTTTGGAAGGAAAAATATCTTTTTAAAAAATCATTTCCTTTTCTTCACCCTATTGCAACAGTAAGAGGGAAAGGCCAATGTTGGCAAGTTATGATGTTTTTGTGAATATTTTTAAATGTAACCGCATCTCTTTTTTGGGGTTTCATGTTGTTTTGGGAAGGAAGCAGGGAAAGCAGTAGGATGCTAACTCCTGGCTGGAGAGGTCATGGGACGTTAGTCAGTTCCAAGCAAGTGTAATAAGGTGACTGTCTCTGGGTCACTCCTGAATCTTGGGATGGAGAAGTTGGAGTGAGGCACGAATGTGAAGAGGTGAGCCAGAGCAGGCATCCTGCCAGTTAGACAGGAGACACAGAGCCCCCATGTGCACAGCATGCTCCTTTCTCAGGATTATTTCTCATGTATTTTTAGCAGGCAAGGGAAGAAAGCATCTCATGTCTTTTGGGCTCTTTTTCTCACAAGACATACATACAATTCAAAGGTCTCCTCTTATACTGGGTAGCACAGTAAATAAGTCTATTTAAAAACCTTGTTCAAAATGCAGAAAGAGCAGGAGCCTAAGTTTTTCAGATGCTGTCAGGTCACATTTAAAAAAAAAAGTATTTAGCAAGAAAAGTAGTTTTTGTTTTGTTTTGTTTTGTTTTAATGAAAATCTTCTTTTTTTTCTTTTCCACTATTTTGAGTCTCCTGGTTTTCCCATGAGCTCCTAGATGCTTTAGGGACACAGAGGTATGCTTTGTTCTGGTTTTGTCTTTCACAGTCAGGAGTGCCAGATGTTGGACAGGATGTTAGGTATTCCCTGTCTCAAAAAAGAGTCTAGCTGTTGTTTTTTTCTCTGTATAAACATCCTAAATGCCACATCTTGCTATTTTTTTCTTAATTAGCAGTGCAAGTGTTTCTTCTTGTCAGATTTCTACAAAACTGCTCTAGTGAGGATTGCAACAATCAAATAGATTACTATAGTTAATCTTAGAACTGTTCATAGTAACAGTAATGGTCAAATTACAGTCAAGTAAAACTGATGCTGTTAGCTGTCTTGAAATAATATAGAGTGCACCCCACCAATGTGGGCTAAGATGAGTGAAGCAAGGCTACTGTAGTTAAGTGTCTAAGTAGTTGGACTGAGTGACTAATGGTAAAATTTAGAGCTGACAGTGGACTGCAGAAAACTATTCCAGCTTCCTATGCTATGTCATATCATATGATACTGTATTATTTTTATAAGCAAAGTAACAACACCTATCCTTGAATATAATGACAAGATTCCAAAAGTTTGCTTTCCTCCCTGCAAGCTATTACTAGTATATTTATTTGCTCAACAAACTTTTGAAACATAAAGTCCAATCCGCTAATTAGTTCCATGTTCCTATTTAGTAGAGTCTAAATTAATACATGTTTATATCTATTTGGTTAAATCTTTTTATTTAAAACCATAGTACCTCAAATAGTGTGTTACAAGCATGTCTAATATTTAAGATGGCAAAAATATGAATGCTGAATGTGTGATCTTGCACTTATTTCCTCTAATGCCACGACTCAGATGAGAGGCCAGATGGAGTCTCATCTGAAGGAGTTAGAGCATGTCCGTGGTTCCTTGACGGCGGCCGAACGGAGGCTTCAGGAGTGTCAGGAGAATCTACAGCGCTGCAAGGGGACATGTGCAGACCAGGCACACACCGTTAGGGAGCTTCAGGGCCAGGTGTCCACGGCGGCCCCGAGCTTTCCAGATGTGCTCAAGGAATACTTTGGAATGATTTCACCAGTTGAGGGCACTCATGTCAGGCGTTGATTTTTTTTTTTTATTCTTCTCTAAAATAGTTGCTAAAACATCAGTTTCATGCAGATCCTGTAATAGTATTTTGCAGTTATTCTTTCAGTAGTTGATGGTGAAAAGTTGGTAATTAAAATTGCAAATTTAGTTGATTTAGGCAAATCTATGTTTAGACATTGGAGGATATGGTAATAGCATAACATAAGGAATAAAGCTGTTTTACATGCGTTTCTTGAGGTCAGGATAAGGTAAACCATTGTCAGCTACCTTACAAAAATCAGAGTTTTCTTAATTAGAATTGTGCATCAAATTCTCTGAAATTGTCTTCATTCTTTATTTTTCCATACATACTTTTTTACTCCATTGGAGCAGGGATCATGTGTATCTTCTTAATCAACACATAGCCATCTCCTAGCTCACTGCCTAGCATGAAGGAAGCATTCAAAAAGTATTTTTGAATTAATTTTGTTTCCAAAAAAGCATATCTAAGGATGGCAAGTTTTTTCCTTAACTTGCAAGACAGTTGTAGGAAGAATCCTCTGTCTAGCTTACAAATATAATCAGGATTTTAATTTTGAAATGCATCTTATTTGTAAAAACATGCAAACAAAATTTTGGTGAATTTAAATTTCTTTAAAGAGTGTTTTCCAGCGAAATATCAAATTATATAGATTAATCTAAATTACTAATTGAAATTTTGAGGAACTTTTATGAAAGCTTCTTAACTATTTAAATGAGCTATTGGAGTAAAGGAAATACTAATTGTGTCCTGAGTTGAGTAAGGGGTGTTTTTGGTTGATGTATTTGTTTATCTTTCTTCTCTCACACACACACACAAAAAAAAAATATATATATACATATATATATATATATATATATATATATTTACTTACAATTCCAACCTTAGAGATCAATCAGTATTTTTAGATATAATAGAAATCTGTAAGAGAATCTCTAAGTCTCCAATAATAGGAGATTAATATTTAAAATTTTATTTCCACATTTCAACTTGATTTCCGTTTTTAATTTTGCTAGAGGGCATGTGTGCTTGCCAGAGAGAGACAAAGATAGAGAGGGAGAGGGTCTGGGAGAAAGCACCCTCCAGTGGGGCACGATCATACTGCATTCTCTCCTTCATTTCTCCATCCTGTCGGGATTTGGGACACGCATGCACATGTTTTCCAAGTCGTAGAAGCTGGGATTTCAGCCATGCAATCGGCCATATGAACTTTGGCTCCCTTAACTACTAGGCCACAGGGCTGGCCCAGTAAAAGTTCCTTTTCAATAATGTATTATTTCCAGTATCTTCATTGCTATTGTCCAGAAAATTTTTCAGTTGGTTATTTTCCAACAGAGAGCACGTAGATTTTAAAAATTTACCAGGACTTGTATTTGAACAATGTAGCATTTCTTGATGTCTTTCTGTGTAGGAGTAATAGTAATATTTATAGCTTCTTGTTTCTTATGGTTTTTCTAATAATAAAATATATAGGTTTCTTTGGAAGTTGATTATAACCAAAGTAACCAAGAAAACATATTTTTTTTTTTTTTTAAGATTGATGGAAATCACAATCTTCTGACAGAGTTTTCTCTGGAAGAAGAAAATTATCTTGTTCAGTTGAAGTGTGAAAGCCTTAAGCAGTTAAGTATTAAATTGACTTAAAATTAGTATCACATTTTTCTCTACACATTATGATTTTAAAATACATGTTTTCTATAAAAAGAAAATTAGAACAGATGGATGCAGAAAATAAAGAACTTGCAAAGAAGTTGGCAAATCAAGAGGAATGTCTTAAGCAGAGCAATCTTAAATTTAAAGAGAGATCTGAAGAGTACACAGCATTGGCCAGGCAGCTGGAAGCTGCTTTAGAAGAAGGAAGACAAAAGGTACAGATAGCCTTTATTTAGAAAGGTTTTAATGAGTTCACCAAAGACTTGTGTTTTTAAACAGACAGTATCTCATCTTGCCAAACCTATAGTTATTGTTTTTATCTTAATGATAGGGTGAAAGGAGCAATTACGTTTTTGTTCTTTACCTACTTTTCCTTTGGAGGAAAACAGATCTATTATTGAGCCACAGTTACTTCAAATAGGTAAATGGTGATGTGGCCGGGTAGAGGGCAGAGATGGAAAACACTTCAAAGGTGCAACTCTCCACGGCCTTTTGGAAAATGATAATGTGTATGATCATCTCTTTAACTGGACTAGTATACAGCATATTCATTCTGGGAAAATTCATTTTACAAGCTGCAATGATATACAGTGACTGAATATATCAAATTTTTAAAAATAAATAAATTTTAGGATCCTTAAAAAAAAAAAAAAAAGAAAGAAAAATACAAAAGAAAATTGAATGTGCCAGTAAATGAAAATATTTATTTTGACCTGAATTCAGTCAGCTCTAAAGCTCAAGTCCCTTTTGGCAAAATTGTTACAAAAATAAAGATAGCTAAGAAGTAAAGTCCCATTAAATCCACTAGTTTAGCACTCTGATTACTACACCATGTGTTGGGCGCTGTGCTAGTGCTTAAGTGCAAAGATGAGTAAGGCCTGGCCTCAGCTCTCAGGACACAGTCTAGCAGAGGGTAGTATGGGAACACACAAACACCATCTCACATGTAGGTACTCCAGTAGAGGGTCAAGATGTACTGAACGGAATGGTTCTTTCAGCCCAGGAATGAGGGGAAATGATTCAGGAAGATCTCAAAGAAGAGGTAAATTTATTGAACAATTCGAAAATCTAATCTTGGAGTCTAACAGGAACTGGATTTTAATTCTGACTGTGGCACGTCGTACACTGACCCAGGGCAGATTACCCCTCTAAACTTTAGTTTCTTAAGTAAAATGGGGGTTATGAGTTTTCTCACAGAATTGAATGATGCTAAAAAGCTATAATCTATATGTTTATAACTTCCAGATGTTTGTCTCCACCCAGACCTTTCTCCCCACAAAAAGCCAACCTATTTATTCTATTTACTTCCTTACTTGGCCTTGCCACCTTGTATAGGCGTCTCAAATTTAACATGTCCAAAACATGTTTTGACTCTTTTCCTCTAAATTCTCTTCTCCCCATGGCCTTCCTCAAGCCCATTAATAGCAGTTCCATAAAATTCTGATAAAATTTGATATCCTTGAAATGTAGCTTTTCTATCATAAATGTCACATATCTATTTTATTTTAACTCAGGAAGACAAATCTAATTGACTATGAGAGATGTGTTATTGAATAAAAGCTAAATAATAAAATGTACTGTCAATGACAGGAATTTAATGCAGATTTTTCAGCTTCACCAACCTTTGGGAGGAAAATTAGTGTCATGATCTTGGCTTCAGCCCAAGCAGACTTTAGAAATGCCAGGTGTTCTCAGGTTCCTTCCCAAAAGTATTTAGAATCCTCTGGGGTGTGTCTGTCACCTCCTTTCACTCCTATTGCCGGGGAATATGGAGCTGTCTCTAGCTGTTGCCCTTGTGAGGAATGTCATCACCACCCTGTCACCATTGCCCACACTAAGGGGACAGTGCCAAGATCATCGATGTTTATCCTGAGGATTCTTTTTCCCGCAGCTTCAGTCCTAAGAGCATCCCTCACTCAATCACCCTTGGAATTTGTACAGAAGAAATCCTTGTCTATCAATTATAATAACTTAGAACTGAGTCCACAGTGTCTTAGAGAACAGTCTTTCTTACTGTCTCTTTCCTGCTGGACCAGTCTCTTGCCTCTGCTTTCATTCTTGTGGCTCCAACCCAGCATTCTTAAAAATAGGCTCCCATGTTTCTAAATCCTTGGATGAACATAGCTAAGCTAGACTTTCTGCTAAAATAAGCAATCAGAGAAATATGAAAATTCAAATTCAGACCACTTTGTAAGTGAATGAGTGAAAAACTAATCTTTTGTATATATATGTGTAAAGTTTGTACATCAGTTCTATCCAGCCACATGTATAATCATCATTAAATGAGAACTTTCTATGTTCCACCACCACTTAGGACACCATGGAAATATAAATATTATAAATATGACAAATGAGCTCAGTGTGTTTTAAAAATAAACTGTTGGGGGCTAGCAGATGACATGGAGGTTAAGGTGCTAGCTCTCACATGGCTAGCTCCACAGTTCAAGTCCCAGACTCGATGACTTGAAAATCGTATCATGCGTGTGTGCCCAAAATCTTGAGAGGAGAAAGGAGGAGATGGGATTAGCACATGGACATTGTCCTGGGGGATGATTTCTCAGCTCCCCCACCACCACCTCTCCCTGGCCTCTGGTAGGCACATGTACCCTAAAACAAAAACTGAAATATACATACAAATATGTTTTAGCAAAAACTAAAGTGTACATATGTATAAATAGGAGAAAACATCTACCTAAATCACAGAGCAGTAAAAATGTGTATGCCTCTTCCGTCTTGAGCTAATTTTGCAGATACTACTGCAAAGAGACGTATACATAATTATAATTATACTTGTTTCTTCAAGATAGAACACTTTCTAATTGTCTAGCACCAGTTGGTATCTATCTATATTTTAAAAAGATTCAGTGTTAACTACATTGAGACTTCTAAACCATATTTTAAAGAAACAACATTTAGTATTTTGCTCTTTTAATATAAATTACAGGTTTCTGAAGAGATAGAGAAAATGTCATCTAGAGACAGGGCTTTCCAGATTAAAATATTGCATCTGGAAACTGAGCTTAAAAAGAAAAATGAAGAACAAAGTCAACTTGTTTCCAAAATGAACAGTGTAAGTATGTATCCTCATATTATATTTAAAAAAAAAATGAATGAAACATTTTTACTATGAAGTTTTGCTAAATAGTTAAAATACAAGTGAGGGAAATAAAGGCTGTTACTTTACTGATAGTATTAAAAGTAACAAATAATATAGAACATAAGGTGTCAGGATCATGACCAGGAATTTATTATTCTGACTCTTGATTAGCATTTATTGAATCACTCCCTAATCTCATCAGGCCCTTCCCATTTCTTACCTTTGCATGACAGCTGCTTAATGAAAGTTACAAATATAATCTATTCATTTTCTTCCTGTCAAGCATTTTTAGTTTTTTTTAGAGTAAACAATAAGCTATTACTATGAGTTGGATTTTTATATCTGTCTTAAATAAAAAGTTTTCATCTAGTCTTAAGTAAATATTCAGTATTGTTATATTGCCATACGAGGTGGATATTTTAATTCACTCAACCATGAAATGAGAATAACAAAGTGGCTATGTTTATTAGTCTTCTCATGTTTTTTTTTCCTGAATATTTGAAATAGCTAACATAAGATATTCTGAAAGCTAGTATCAATCAGGTTTTAATTATTTAATAATTATCTTCTTAATAATGACATCGAGAATAATGATAGTTTATTTTTTCCAGGAGCAGAAGACTCCATTAAAACTATTTTTTTTATACCCAAGTGTCTAAAAAGTCAAAAATCTAAGTGAAAGTTTCAAAAATTAAATGATTTTTGGCATACATCATTGAATTCTATTGCCACTAAAAGTTTCATGACAATTTCATCAGAATAAAACCCTGAACTGTTTTCAATTTAGCACCTTTTCAATTTAGCACTCGTTTTTATTTCTAAACTTTAAAACTCACCATCAGAGTTTCTATTGTTGTAAAATATGTGTGGTGTTCTTTGTATATTGAATCCTCTTAAAAAATACAGTAAATAAAATAAGAGGTGAGTTTTGCTATAACCTATTACTGTTCCTAGTAGTTGGCTAAAGTTGCTAAAATAAATAGGGTAATAGCTGATTTCCTGTTAAACACAATAATTTTTGCACTAATAAAAATCTAGTATTCCATGGGACCAGCAGTTAGTGTAATGGCTTTGTTGCTGAACTCCCATGTAGTCGACCGCAGTTCGAGTCCTAGAACCGGTGGACACGTGTGCGTGTATGCCCAAGATCCTGAGAGGAGAATGGAGGAGAAGGGATTGTGTGGTCATCCCCCCTGGGGGGTGATTTCTCGCTTTCTGTCTCTGTCTGTCTGTCTCTCTCTCTCTGGCGAGCACATGCGCCCTATAGCAAAAAACCTCTCCAACAAAATCGACAAAAATAATCTAGTATTCCAAGCATAGATTTCGACACTGCAGAAAAATTAGTTTATGTGTTCTGCGTCTTCCAGGGTGGTGCAGCGGCATTCAGGGTTTATCCTGTATACATGCTTCTGCCACGGTGGAATGTCAGCACCCCGAGAGCCTGTCTCATAGTTGCTAGATGCCCTGTGTCTTCTACAGTGCCCTGCCCACCTGGAGGGACTTTTCATATTCCTGTCCAAATACCCTGGTGGATGCACAGACCAAACAGAGACCTCAGCAGTTTAACCCAAGGCAACCCTCCTGAAACCTAGAATGTCTTTGAAGTCACTGTCCTGAAATTTATTCACATTTTACACTACCTTATGATTTAGTGTGGTTAGTCTTTTTATCTTCAAATTGTGAAATAAAATTGATGCTCCATAAAAATTCTCTTATGTGGTGCCAGCTGATGGCATAGGGGTGACATTGCTAGACTCCCACATGGCTGACAGTGGTTCAAGTCCCAGACCCATGACTTGAAACTAAGGCTGGGTGTGCATGCATGCCATGACCCCGGGGGAGAATGGAGGAGAAGGGATTGCGGAGTGGCCATCCCCCATGGGGGATGATTTCTCATTTTCTCTTTCACTGTCTTTGTCTCTCTCTTTCTCCCTGGTGAGTACACACACCCTAAGGCAAAAATCTCTACCAAAAATAAAAAGATTCTCTTATTTATTCCATGATTTTGTATAGCTCAGTCTAGTACTAGTTGCTTCACGCCAGTCACTTTCCCTGAGGCGCATTGCTCAATTTCCAAGGTATCTGGCATCACTGAACACCTGATATGAAAAACATAAAAGATCTCCCATCTCAAGGTGCCTGCATTTTAGTTGGAAGTTAGGTAGTATTTGCAACTTCTCTATTAAAAGCATATTCAGTGAACAGACCTGCATAAAAATTTATATGCAATTGGAGTTTAAAATATATATTGAGGTTTTATTTTTTTCCTCAAAGAACATCTATAATATTAAGTTTTTTTTATTATTTAAAGGATTTAAAAAGAATAGGTTCATATTATAGAAACTAGAATTTTGTCAGTTTTCTAAAATCTGTCTAATTTGTGGGCTTGCCTGAAAGAGAGAAAGAAGGTGAGAAAGCACCCCTTTCATGGTGTCTGGTCATGTCAGTCCCTGCCCCACCTCTGCCCTCTTTCGGGCCTGTACACACATGTACTCAATGTGGTTTTCAAGCCTCTAGATCTAAGACTCAAACCGCTCTGTCAACCCTGTGGTATCCAGTCACCTTAACCACCAGGCCATGTGCTGGCCCAAGTTCTGTCAACTTTTAATGATAGCAAATGTCATTCTTACGGCACAAAATATAAATTTCTAGGCAGAAACAATGGCAAAACTACAATGAAAATGCCTTATTAAATGGAAATTAATTATAACAATTTTAAATAAAACCAGTGTTATTGAGTCATGTTAAATATATACTAGTTTGGAGCTTAGCAAATATGTATTACATCTGACTATCACAGTAGAGATTACCAGGTGCATGTTTAGTTGTTAATTTTAGAGAAAGGTGAATTCTAAGATAGATTAATAATGAGTACATCAGATGTGAGGATTCTTTCTTTCAAAACATTAAATGACTTATCATTTGATATGAGTGCTATTTTTGATTATCTATATTTCTTTCTTTTTTTTTTAATTTAGAAAGCACACCATCAGGAAGTATGTCTGAAGGAAATACAACAGAACCTTGAGAAGTCAGAGAATCAAACTGAGAGTATTAAAAATTATTTACAGTTTCTTAAAGCTTCTTACGTAACAATGTTTGGATAAATTGTTGAATGTTTCTTCTGTAAGCATTAGGTTTTAACTGAGTCTAAAATGTGATTAGATAAACAATAAATAAATACACCACTGGTTATTATACTTCATGATTTATGGATGGTAGTATTAGAGATTTTATGTAAAAATTTTAGAAATAACTTATTAACTAAGTAAAACTTGAAAACAAGAAAGATGTTAGTATTCCTTTTTGCTAGGTAATCCTCATTAACTCTGGTTTAATTCCTTCTTAAATCACATAGTTTTTATAATATTTTTCACACAAATACACACATTTCAGAATCTTTGCCATGTATTTAGTAACCATTCAACTGCATTTGTAATAAATGTGTGCCAATTATGAACCAGACACATGATTTTCAATGATCTCTTCATATGATTATTTATATTGTGATGCTATATACATACAATAAGGGAAATAATCTGAATTTTAATTTTAATAATGGTACAATGACATACTTTCTAAAAGTATTATATATCTCAATATACTTAATATTACTTCAGCTATATGTCAAGCTACCATTACAATTTCTATTAGAATTTTATTTTAGTGAAAGATTTTTGCTATATAGGGTGCATGTGCTCACCTGAGAGAGAGATGAAGAGACTAAGAGACAGAAAGCTAGAAATCACCTCCCAAAGGGGATGGTCATGCCACAATCCCTTCTCCTCCATTCTCCTCTTAGAATTTTGGGCACACATGCACATACACCTGATGTGAGTTTTAAGCTGCCGGGTCCAAGGCTCGAATCATGATCTAAAATGTGATTAGGTAAACAATAAATAAATACACCACTGGTTATTATACATATACATATATATATCAGTTATACTTCATGGACATGGGAGTCCAGCAAGGTAATCATTATGCCATCTGCTGGTCCCAGTTTCTATAGGTTTTAAATCTAAATATTGGACCAGTAAGTAGCATGGTGGTTAAGGCAACTGGGTCGCACTCCACCTGTGCAGTTCAAATCCTAGACCTAGCAGCCTGAAAAACACACTGGCATATGTGCATGTGTCCCCAAATCCCAAGAGGAGAATGAAGAGAAGGGATCATGGTGTGCCATCTCCCTTGGTGAGTGCTTTCTCCTTTTCTCCCTCTTTCTCTCTTCCTTTCTCTCTCTAGTGAGGGCATGAGCCCTATAGCAGAATTATATATATATATAACTCTCAATATACATTAAATACTCAGTTTATGTTTGTGGATAAATGGATGGGCAGATGTGAATGAGGTAGGTATTTATATTCCTGTTTTAGATATGAAAAGAATGTAAGCATAGAAGGATTAAGTACCATGGCTGCAGGATAAAAGTGTTTTTATTTTGTGTAGATTATATATATGTAGAGAGAGAGAGAGAGAGAGCGCTATTAAATGCTAACTAATGGTAATGGATGAAAGCACATTGGCATGTATTTTTCCTTTATAAGGAATAGGCATCCAGGGGCTGACTCCATGGTCTAGTGGTGAGGGAGCCAGACCCCACATGACCAACCATGTAGTTTGAATCCTGGACCATACTGTTTGAACCCTGGTCCTCACAGCTTGAATAACACATGTATGTGTGTGTCTGTGTGTGTGTGTGCCCCCCAACAGGATGAAGAAATGAGGAGAAAGGATTATAGTATGAGCATGCCCCATAGGGGGGTGCTTTTTCCTTCTCACTCTGTTTCTCTCTCTCTCTCTGGCAAGTATATGCACCTTCTGGCAAATCTGGAAAAAGAAAATTGTTTAGGCTGTTCTATTAATACATACTCTTGTTCTTTTTATGTTAGTGATTATCTGATGTTATTATTGTATACATTTTAAAGCCCCTGAATTAACTAAAAGATTAAAGGGGAGTAACTCGTCCTGCCCTTTTCATGGCCAACTCACATGGGATGATCAAATTAGCCCTCTTCATACCAGAGAGCACTAGGAGAAGGTCTGTATTATTAGGATAAAGTTGTTTATGTTGACCACATGGACCAAGAACTCGTTCCCTGTAATTTCCCACCAAAGTGGGACTCTCTAAATGGGGATGGATGTGGTTTACAAGGGATCAGGTAATAGTGACTCCTTTTGGACCCTGATTTAAGAGCTGTTCTGTCAAGTGAACACTCAGGTCTCTAAGGACACCTAAAGAGACAGGCGGTTACTACACTAGCCTGTCAGCAGGGCTCTCTCCAAGATGTCTTATCTTCTTTTCTGGTCAGAGACTAGGACCTGCTCCTCGCTGGTCCCCTCATTCTTACAACTGTCATGTCATCTTCAAGGGTTTACTTCCTAGTGACCCAACTGCTTCACAGTATCTTTCCTAAAATATCAATATATTAAGTGTCATAAACTGACCAGGATTTTTGCCCAACAGTAGCTAATAAGATTCATGTTGCCTTCTTTTTTTTAAAAAAAAAAAAAAAAGATGGTATTTGTGATACTAAAACACATACTTGCAGCCTTTTCTTTATCTCCTAAGGTAAAGGGGTATAAGAAATGTCCACATGAAAGAAAACAATGGCTCTTGAGTTGTGCTCACTATACTAAGCTCTTTACGAGCAGAACTGTATTTTACTCATATTTGAATTCAGTCCCTACACAAAACTCAATATGCATTAAGTACTCAGTTTATGTTTGTGGATAAATGGATGGATGGACATGAAAGAGGTAGGTATTTATGTTCCTGTTTTAGATACGAAAAAACTGTAAACATAGAAGGAGTAAGTACCATGGCTGCAGTATAAAAGTGTTTTTATTTTGTGTGGATTTTATTTTTCTTTTACATGCAAGAGAGATTGAGAGATAGCACTAGATACCTCGTCCACCCCTATCAGCTCCAGATCATGGGCACGTGTGCACCTAGTGCACACAGGGAGGTCTTCCAGTAAGAACCCAGAATCCTCCATGTGTGTCAGCCTCCTAAAGCATCATGCTTTACTTCTAAGCCACCATTCAGCCCCAAAACTTAGGTTTTGAAGTTGGCTTTTGACCAAAATTTAATTCTGTGTACAGAGCTATCTCCATGTAGCAGAGCAGCAGCAGACTTGGTACTGTTTACTGACTACTTGCTGCGTGGCAGCCAAGTTCTAGGTGAGATTCATGTACTAACTCATTTGCTTTTCAGGAAGCTAAGTGTTAAGGAACGTGCCCAAGGTCACACAGCTAGTAAGTGGCAGGCAGTCTCTGCTCTTGACTATGACCATAGTCCATTTGTATACATTGCAAAAATAAAAGTAGTGGTTTCTTGTAATAGTAATACCATGATCTCTCCCATGAATACTTTCTCTTTTAATTTTTAATGTTCATCAAAGTAATCTGTGCCTATAAGGTAACCGCTATCTTCCAGATGGACTGTGGAAGGAAAAGGCCACTGCACACCCCCAAGGCTGGCTTAGCTGCTGGGAACACAGCATGACAAAGGAAGTTTGCCAGCTCCTGGAAGAGCTTTAGCAGCCTTTGTACTGATGTTTCCATGTGAAGCATTAAGCACACACGGGCTCTTCTAGTGTGTGAGCCAAACTCAGCATCCACGAGGCCCAAGTCAGTACCCCAGTGTCCCTGAGCAGTGTCTGCTTCCAGCTCCACCGTCCCAGACACCCGATTCCCCACAGTACCAAAAGTTTGCAGGAATTCCCCTTCATCCTTGGTATTCAGGGTCATAAGACTTCCTAAAGCTGTGAAAGTTTTCTTCCATTCTCTATGTTGTTCTTACTTCTCTACACGTTCCTTTCCTCCTCCACTCTGGTCTCCCAGATCTGATTACCATGCTACTTGACCCTTGACCCTTTCCCTTAGGGTATGTGTCCATCCCTTGGCTTCTTGTGAGGTGTTTCCACCTGATTTTTCTGATCACTAGTAGGTTTTCAAAGGAAGTCATTTTCTCCTTCTGTTGAATTTTAATTTTTAATTAAGAAATCATTTTAATTAAGAAATCATTTGTTTTCCAAAAGACATGAAAGCAGGGACTCAAAGAGATATTTGCACACCCTTATTCATAGCTCTTTTCCCAATGGCCAAAAGATGGAAACAACACAAGTGTCCATCATTGGGTGAATGGAAAAACAAAACGTGGTATAGACAGTTAGGGAATTTATTCTGCCTTCAAAAGGGAATTCTGACACACGCTACAACATGGATGGACATTGAGGACATTATGCTAAGTGAAATAAACCAGTCAGAAAGACAAATACTGTATTGATTCCCTTTGTCAAAGATAACGAAAGTAGTCCAATTCTTAGAAAGTAGAATGGGTTTTTACCAGGGTCTGGCATCAGGGAGTTACTATTGAATGGGGATAGAGTTTCGGTTTTCAGTTTTGCAAGATGAAAAAGTTCTGGAGAGGGCTGGTGGTGATGGTTATTACTGTATGTAATATATTGACCTATATATGTAAAGATGTCTGAAATAGAAACTTCACATTGTGTGTATTTTGCCACAGTTAAAAAAAAAAAGATTTATTTGTAGAAATAGTAATTTTTTTAAGTTTCTGAAAGTCTTTTTAAATTTTTTAATTCTGTAATTTCATTACAGTTTCATTAAAATTCTCTACTGTCTCTTCCATTGGCTCTACTTCAGTAGGCATTCTGTATTTCTGTTCTGGCGTCTTTCCTTCCAAGTCCCGCAAGTGAGTTTTAATTTTCCTAGCCTGCTCATGGCTGTGGCTTGCTCAGCACTTGCCAGGAGCTTGTCGTGTGCATCTCTTGGGCAGTAGCAACCAAGCGGTGAAAGACTCAAGAATGGCTTCAGTTCTCAGAAGCCTATGAGACCATTACCATCTGCTGAGTTTCTTTGAGGAATAGTGCTTTGGACTTTCTCAGTCATAAGAAGCAATTCTTTGACAACTACGAAGATTGGAAGCACTTCACAGAAAGTCCCCTTCACTGTATTCTGGGGTCAGTAGATCTGTTACAGCATAGAGCAAGTGAAGACCTCTTTGGAAATGAGCCACAAGCAAGGTCTGTAATTAGAAAAACGTACAATTTAAAGGATGAATGTAGTCTGTGTCTGGTGACTTGCAATTTATTCATGATTTTTATTTTTAGGTAAAAAAGTCACAAAATTATGTGTTCAGTGTGATTCCTTTTTGTAATTAAAAGCCTGTCTATAT